TAGTTGCATGAAAAGAATTCCATCCTTGATTATCGGTTGGCTGCATGTCAGTTCCTTGCTCTTTCACTGGCTTCCGAAGGCCGTGGGGACTCAGGCAGCGGCGGGGCTGTGGGCCAGACGATCCAAATGGGTGTCAGCCATTGACAGCCCCGTCTCAGAAAGCAGGCGTTCCCGAGTGCAGCAGCAGCCGCTGGGCCTGGGGGGAATGCTAATGCCCCCGGAGCCCATCTTTCAGCTCTTGCCTCTGGAGAGCAGCTGCCCTTTCCTTGGGGAGGGGCCGTGGCTCAGTGGCAGAGCCTCCGCTTGGCATGCAGGAGGTCCTCGGTCGAAAGGACCAGGCCCCGGGTGATGGGAAAGGCCTCCTCCGCCTGAGACCCTGGAGAGCAGCGGCCTGTCTAAGCAGACCGTGCTCCCTTTGAGGGACTGAGGGTCCGGTTCGGCTTTCAGCAGCTTCGCATGTTCATGCGTCCTGAGCAATGCGCCCTTTCAGCTGCGGAGTCTTGTGAGCAAAAATTGTACTCTGTGAGGAGCCACTGGCATTAAAACTGTGAGCGAGCGTTTGCCCTGGAGTCATCCTTCCTGAGCCAAGACAAAAATGTGTGAGCCGGAAGCTAAGAAACTGCGAGCTGGCTCACACTCACTCAACTGAGAGGAAACACTGGTCCTGAGGGAGGGGTGAGGTGGAGGGTGTAGAGGCTCTTGACCAGGGGTCATTTCGTAGAGAAAGAGGTGCAGGAGCTCACTAGCATAACCTATTTGCATATGCGACGCCCCCTGACATCACCGGAAGTGTGTCAGAAGGCAACACCCACCGCTCAGGCTCCACTGGACTGTTGTGGATTGCTAGCTATTGGGGGGGAGAACGTGCAGATCTGTCCTCGCAGACGAGGGAGAGCTTGTACCTGAAGGCGGGCAGGGGGGGGGGGCTCTGCAACTCACCTGACTGCTTCTTGCTCCTCGTGGCCGGACTGAGGGCTTCTGGGAGCAGGAGGCGGGGCTTGTTGCCTGTGCCCGCCCCCTGGGCTCCTTACTGCTGGAGCTCTGCTCCTGTGTGCTCCCGCAGGAAATGACCCCTGCTCGTGACCAGGTTTTCTCCACTGACTGAGCTTCCTTCCTTCCCATGGAAGGGGGGTGGGGGAAGAGGAGGGGTCTCCATGGAGGCACTTCCAGACTGCAAAGGATTTGGGGAGCTATAAAGGGTCCCAGCGGAACTGCGGTGGCTCAAGTGGTTAAGATGCTGAATTGCAGGCTGGAAGGTTGGTAGTTTGGCAGTTCAAGACCCGAGTGCCGCATGACGGAGTGAGCTCCCATCTCTGGCCCCAGCTCCTGCCAACCTAGCAGTTCAAAAGCAAGACATTGCAAGTAGATAAATAGGTACCGCTTCAGTGGGAAGGGAACAGAGTTCCGTGCGCCTCGGCGTCTAGTCATGCCGGCCACATGACCACGGAAATGTCTTCGGACAGCGCCGGCTCTTTGGCTTGGAAACGGAGACGAGCACCGCAACCCTAGAGTCGGATTCGACTGGCTTTCGAACGAGGGAAACCTTTACCTAAAGGATCCCAAGGAGGGGACCAGAATCCAGGATTGCTGTGGTTTGTTTCTGTGGCGCCCTCAAGGTGCGTGGTGCTGTTCGGAGATCTTGGCCTGGCAGAGGCGGTGGCCCACAGTGTGAGGCAAGAGGGGGATGGCTCTGCTGATTCCCCGCAGGGACGTGCGGGTTTTAGTTCTGTAGGGGAAAGAGGAGAGGTGGCAGAGACAGCAGCCGTGGGAGGGGGCGGCAGAGAGCCAGAGTTTGGTGTCGTGGTTAGGAGTGCAGATTCTAATCCGCAGTGGCAAGCTGTCTCAAGCAGGACTCTGAAGAGATAGCCTAAATGGAACAGAAATATCCTAAAGATATTTAGAAGTATCTGAAGAAGAGTGTGTGCACACGAAAGAAGAAGAAGAAGAAGAGATTGGATGTATACCCTGCCCTTCAGTACCCAAAGATTATGCATGGGAAAGAGCCGGTAGAGAAAGAGGTACTTTTCTCCCTTTCTCACAATACAAGAACTCGTGGGCACTCCATGAAATTGCTGAGCGGTCGGGTTAGAACGGATAAAAGGAAGTACTTCTTCACCCAAAGAGTGATTAACACTTGGAATTCACTGCCACAGGAGGTGGTGGCGGCTACAAGCATGGGCGACTTCAAAAGGGAATTAGATAAGCATATGGAGCAGAGGTCCATCAGTGACTATTAGCCACAAGGTATAGATAGGGACTCTGGGGCAAGGGATGCTCTGTCTTCTTGGTGCTTGGGGGGGGGGGGGCAACAGTGGGAGGGCTTCTAATGTCCTGGCCCCACTGCTGGACCTCCTGATGGCACCTGGTATTTTTGGCCACTGTGTGACAGAGTGTTGGACTGGATGGGCCATTGGCCTGATCCAACATTGGCGTCTCTTATGTTCTCTTATGTTCAAAGGAGTCTCAAGAGTGGCTTACGTACTCCTTTCCCCTCCCCTCCCCACAACAGACACCCTGTGAGGTAGGCGGGGATGAGAGAGCTCTTGACAGAAACTGCTCTTTTTCAAGGACAGCTCTTGCCAGAACTATGGCTTGCTCAAGGTCATCCAGCAGCTGCAAGTGGAGGAGTGGGGAATCAAACCCGGTTCTCCCAGATTAGAATCTGCCCACTTAACCACTACACACAAACTGGCTCTCATACCTTGAATTAAACTTCGTTGAGAGCCAGTTTGGTGAAGTGATTGAGAGCACAGACTCTCATCTGGGAGAACTGGGTTTGATTCCCCACTCCTCCACATGCAGCTGCTGGTATGACCTTGGGTCAGTCACAAGTTCTCCCGGAGCTGTTCTCTCAAGGGCAGACCTCGAGAGAGCTCCCTCAGCCCCACCTATCTCACAGGGAGTCTGTTGTGGGGAGTGGAGGGGAAAGGAGATTGTAAACTACTCTCCTTCGGGTCATCAAGGGCTGGGTATGCCCAATCTCCTTTTCCCCCCTTCTAAGCATGATTGGAAGGAGGTGAGAGAAGGAGGGGGCCACTTCTGGGCCTCCTCCTGACGGGCCTCATGGGTGGCTGCCCTGGGACTCCCCGGAGAGATCTTCCCTCTGGGAAGGGACCAGGCAGAGACCGGCACGGCTTCTGCAAGATGGGCACTGGCTCAGGTGACCTCCAGCCGTCTCCTGGGAAACGAGCGCTTGGGCTTTTATTCCTCCAGAATGCCTCTGTGCTGCTTTTCCGCTCAATTAGGGCCCCCGTGGCAGCAGACGGTTGAAAGGGATTAAAAATTCAAGGTTTTAAAACAGGACGTGGACATCAAACTGGAAAATTTAAAGACAAACAAGAAGGAGGGTAAGTGAGGCTTGGCCAGATAAAACGGGAGAGTCTTCACCTGCTAGAAGACGACGCTCGAGGGAGGACAGGTGGCTCTCGTTTTGGTGCCACCACTGAGACGCAGGCAGCAGCAAGGGCAGCCAAAGAGGGGCCTCTGGAAACGGCTGGAGCGGTCAGGGAAGTTCTTATGGGAGTGGGCGGGCTTTGTGGTATGGAAGTCCCAGGCCGTATAGGGCCTGAAGGCTGGTGTCGTGGTGAAGTGTGCGGACTCTAATCTGGGAGAACCGGGTTTGATTCCCCACTCCTCCACTTGCACCTGCTGGATGACCTTGGGCAAGCTGTAGTTCTGGCACAGCTGTTCTCTCAAGGGCAGTTCTGGAAAGAGCTCCCTCGGCCCCACCGACCTCCCAGGGTGTCTGTTGTGGGGAGGGGAAGGGAAAAGGAGTTTGTGCGCCACTCTGAGACTCCCGAGTGAAGGGCGGGGTACACATCCAATCTCTACTTCTTCTATCAGCTTCTGGAATATGGCCTGGGCAGCCAGTGCAGATGGGAGCACGTCTGGAGCGATGTGGTTCCTATGACCCACTTCTCTCTTCGGTATTGTGTACCAGCTGCCGTTTCTGGACAGTGTAATCCAGATGTTGACAGGGCATGTCCCATGGTGACCACATCTTTCTTGCTCAGGAAAGGCTGCTACAGTTGGGTCATCACCGGAAGGCACCTCTGGCTAGCACCCCCAGGCCATGAACCTGCTATTTTAGGGGGAGTGCAGCCCCCTCCAGAAAAGGAGGCTTGTCCTCATCAGTGTTCCCTCTGAGCTGAGTCAGTGTGAGCTAGCTCACAGTTCTTTAGCCTCCGGCTCACATTTTTGTCTTCGCTCAGGAAGGAGGGCTCCAGAGCAAACTGATTTATGCAGCAGACAAATCACCCGCTCACCACTTTAATGCCAGCAGCTCACAAAGGAGAATTTTTGCTCACAGGGCTCCAGAGCTTAGAGGGAGCATTGCTCCTGAGATCCCGAATGAGTCCTTCTGGCCACCGGTAGTCCTTCCATCTTGTTGGGATTCGGCTTCCATTTATTGCCCCTCGCTCAGCACGGAACCGCCTCCTCCAGGCGCCTGTCCTTGATTTCCGCGCCCTCGCTGGGATCCACTGGGAGTGCGTGTTAGAGTGGAGTGTCGTCCGCCTCTACTGGGTGACAGCCCTGCCCGAACCTCTGGATGACCTCCTCCAGTAGCTTCATGGAAATGTGGAGAAGCAGGATGATGGGGGACCCCGTGAGCCAGGGACTCCGGGACGGCAGGAGCCGCTTGGAGCGGGAAGCGATGATCCGCTGGCCGCTGGGCGGAGGAAGCCCTCCCAAGCCAGACTGAGTCGGTGGCTCTGAGAGAGGAGCTGGTGGCTGACCCAGATCTCAGGCAGATGGGTGAGGAGCAGTTCGGCACGCGGTGGTGAAACGCCCAGATTAAATCCCAGCCGGTGGAGGAGGGACAGGCCCTCTTTCTAGGGCAGGAGGAGGTGTTCCCTGTCCTCCTCTCTCGGATCAGGCAAATCCCAAAGTCTGACTGGGCTGAGTCCCCAAAGCCCCCTCTCATGATCGGCTCAGTGGCTGTCAAAATGTTGTAACCAATATTGAGCATTTCTCATCAGGGTTTATTTAGGTTTGGGGTAATGGGGATGCACTGCACAAAACGCTTCACGGGGCTTGCTTGGGTCCTGAAGGACGAAGGGCTGCAGTCGGTACTGCCGTGCCTACTCTACTGTAAGCAGGATCCTGTCGGGGCGGTCTCTGTGCTGCTGAGTGTGTCGCGTGATGGTTTGTGCTTCTTTCCCCTCCGGTGGCGGCAGAATTCTAATCCCCTAAACCGTCGTTTTTGGAGTGTCCCGTCCCGTTGATTGTACTGACTCACTGTATGGGATCCATCTGGAGGCCCCGTGAGAAAGGCGGACGGGAATAACGTCACTAAATAAATAAAATACGGTTCTTCCAGTGTAGAATCTTTTTCGTAATTAAAAAAAAACAAAACCCTTGAACTTCCATTTCATAATGTTGGAGTAGTCGTGATTAATGCAGTAATTATAGCAGATCCATCAAAACAGATGCAGGGATTTACCCAAACCTTTGATTAAAAATTACTGGTGAATCTATCTAATCCGGGAATCTTTCCCCACAATACTTAATATTAATTGAAGAAGTAGCTCATATTTTGTATTCTGGATTCTGCCAAGTCCCTTAAAGCAGGGGTGTGAAACATGCGGCCCGCGGGCCGGATGAGGCCCCTGGAGGGTTTCTATCGAGCCCGCAGTGGAACTGGCTGTCTTCTGCTTCTACTTCCAGTTCTGCTGCTGCTGCATCATCATCGTAGGTTTGCAGCTTACAGATACACACCTGAACAGCATACTCAAGATTGCAACAGAACAAAGATTTTGATGCAATAATTCAGAGCAAGAGGTGTCCGTTATCAGACACTGTTAAATAAACAAAACATTACAAGAGTGCTTATGTTTTAAGCATTTTAAGTAAAAAAAACCCATTTGTGTCGTTTATAAAGTTTATATCTCCACTACCTGGCTTTACATTTTATGACACACATGGCTCAACCCGACAAAGTCCAATTTATGTCAGATCCGGCCCTCATAACAAATGAGTTTGACACCCCTGCCTTAAAGAGTATGCAGCTGGAGAAATAACATTTCTTTTTCTAGTGGCTGGGGCAGTTGATATGTGAACAAATTATCTGGTTTAGCATCTTTTCCAGAAATGTTTTCTGTCCACAGAGTTCCTCAAATATCTATCAGTGTAAGGTCCAAGGAAATGTTCCCAAAATAGGAGAAAGAAAATACAACCAAGAAAAGTAATCCTATTTGAGCCCGCTTGCGGGGTAGGGCGGGGGATATATTTAATAAAAATTTTTTTAAAAAAAAATCATATCCGAGTGAAGAGTGCGTACCCTTCATTGGAGTCCCTTTGCCTCTTGCACAATTCCAGGGCTGAAAGACACCTGTTCATTGTGTGGGATTGGGCTGAAGAAAGGACCATCCCAAGTTTCACATTCCCTTCTTCCTCCCTGAGCACCCTGAATTGTCTTCATTTCATGGCTGCAAACCCCCCCCCGGGTAAATGGCAGGTGTCTTTCCCCTCGATTTGGCCTAGGCCCATTTAGGGAGGGGGAGGGGATTTAGCCCTTGAATCCCTGCATGGTCTTGATAAGGATTTGGCATCCTGAAAAAACAAGACCGGTCCTTTTAAGAACTCATCTTTTCCCCTTTCTTGTTGAGCACCGGGAAGGGGGGGGGGGACCATCTCTGTGTGGGAGTGGAATGATTAAATGCCCTCCTCACCTGCTCCCCCAGTCCAAACCGGATCACGTGTGTCCCAGATTTATCTTTTAAAGAAGAAAAGGAGAGACTGGATTTCTACCCCAATGGCCCTTCACTACCCAAGGGATTCTCAGAGCGGCTGACAAACTCCTTTTCCCTTCCCCTCCCCACAACAGACACCCTGGGAGGTCGGTGGGGCCGAGAGAGCTCTTTCCAGAACTGCCCTTGAGAGAACAGCTGTGCCAGAACTACGGCTTGCCCAAGGTCATCCAGCAGCTGCAAGTGGAGGAGTGGGGGAATCAAACCCAGTTCTCCCAGATTAGAGTCCGCGCACCAAACTAAACCACTGCACCAAACCACTAAAGTGGGACTATTCTGCTCTTTTGGAGGGCATTCAGGTGCCATGACCGACTCTGATGAAACAGGCCTGTGGCCCTGGGCGCAACCGCCTCGTCTTTGCCCTGTTTGCTCGCACCCGTCTCTCGCGCCTCCTACTTCCCCCCCCCCCTTCACCAGCCCCGGGATTAGTGGAACGTCTGCTCCAGTTTGCCCTGCGGTCCGAATATTTAGGGGGCCTGGTTGTGCCTGATGCTGGGGAGGGGGGAGGGAGGCTGGCCAGAGCCCCCAGTTGGGCTTGCCTTTCCCACCCGAGCGTCCCGTCCTGCTTCCTCTGGCCTGAGACTCTCCGGCGGTTATCGGTAGAGGTAATTGGGTCACCATTACAGCGGCGGGGGTGGGACGTCTTCTATCAAATTATCCTTGTAGGTGGATGATTTAGATGGGGAAGGGGATCGGTTAGCTCTGTGAGTGATCCGGTTAAGCTTGTTAGAGGTTGTTTTTGATCAAAGGAGACGACGCAGGGCTCGGCGTGGGTGGAGGTCAGCGGAAGGGAGGCCGGCAGGGGACACGGGGGGCAGCCGCAGGGCCCCCTCCCCTCCACTGCAAACCCTGGCTTTCGGCCGGAGCAGCAAGCGCCAGAGATCTCTCTAGGTGGCAGGGGCTGGGGTAAAAGGCTCCTGAGATGTAGGGCAGGGCCACCCAACGTGGGGGGCCTGTGGGTAATATGGTGCCTGCCAGCATCTTCCCCGCCTCCCCCAAGAGAGTTTAGAAGGTGGGGTTGGGGTTTTTGGCCAGCAGGGATTCGGGCGGACTGTCCAAATCTTTATTTTCTTAAAGCAGCATCTGCCACCACAGTACAGGGATGGTCGCTGTGTGACTGAAGGTAATGCGAGAAAATATTTTTAACCCGTATGTTTATTTAAAGAGGCGTCTTGCGAAGTGCGGCTTCTGCCTGAAATGTTGACGTGTTGCTGTTAGAGTCAGGCATGGCCTCCCTGCCTGACATTTCATGGCTGGCTCCGCCTCTCGTGGCAGCCATTTTGTGGCTGGCTCCACCTCCCACTGCAGACATTTTGTAATTGCACCTCCTGCCCTCCTGCAGGCTCAGAAAGGTTGGAGACCCCTGATCTAGGGTCTTGTCCATGCACGCACACACACACATGCCCCACAGCGGTTCTTGGCTGTGACATCATAACAGACTGTAGTCTGATGTCCGCTGCCTCGTGTGCTTGAATGGAAAAGTGGCAGCAGACGGTGTTGTCATCACCAGGACAGGAAACCTTGTCAGTACAGTGTGCAGGGCTGAGCAGAAGAACTGGCCATGTGCCTAACTGGCCACAGATCCATTTCGTGACCCACAGCGCATGGGTACTGCATCCGTATCCCACATCCTTCATGCGGCCTGTGGCAGACACCCCTCTTTCCAAGACTATGGCCTTGGCCATGTCTCTCTGTGGTCTTCTGAGACTGACTGAGCAGAGAAGAGAAGAGGTTGGATTTATACCCCGCTCTTCACTACCCAAAGGAATCTCAGAGCGGTTTACAAACTCCTCTCCCTTCCCCTCCCCACAACAGACAGACACAGGTAGGTGGGGCTGAGAGAGCTCTTTCGAGGACTGCTCTTGAGAGAACAGCTCTGACAGAACTGTGGCTTGCCCAAGGTCATCCAGCCAGGTGCTAGTGGGGAAGTGGGGAATCAAACCCGGTTCTCCCAGAACTGGCCATGGGACAGCGATGCCCAACTCACCCTGCAGGCTGGATCTGGAGGAAGGGCGGACACTGCTACGTCTGGGGTCTGCCAGCTTGGTTGTCGGGGACCGCCGGAGAGTGCACCCAGAGTGGGCCCCCTCCCCTGTTAACCCCCGAGCTTCTTTGTATTGGTAACAGCCCCCCCCCCCGAGTTTTCTTCTCTCCCTTGATCAATCCCTAAGACAATATGTGCCGCATGCCCCGTTGGAGCTGATTGCATTCGGCCTGATCCCAGGACCGTCCAGGGTAGAGAGCCACTATTGTGCCCCCCCCAATCCTGGGACTGCCACCAATGCTCGCTCTAAGCTGTGGAGTCTTGTGAGCAAACATTGTACTTTGTGAGCTCCTGGCATTAAAGTTGTCAGCGAGCAATTTGGCTACGGCATCAATTAGTTTGTTCTGGAGCCATCCCTTCCCGACCTCAGACAAAAATGTGTGAGCCAGAGGCTAAGAAACTGTGTGCTAGCTCCCACTTGGATGACCCTCTTTCTGGTATGTTGTAGGGCTCTCTTTCGGCTGTGCTCCTGCAGAGTGCGGGGGGTTGGACTAGATGACCTGCAGGGTGCCAACTCTAACATTCTATGATTCAGTAACTCAGCCTGGAGGGAACACTGACTGCCACCGCTGGCCAGGGGCTGCTTCCTTGGCTGGACTCCTCATCTCCCCTTTCCCGAATGCCAAGTCCCCTGCTTGTGAGGGTGCTTGACTTGGTGGCCGTTCAGACCTGCCCCGCCCTGAGAGGCGCGAGGCCCCGGGAAGCAAAGCAGCGCTTGCCCAAGAGGAGGTGGCAACGTCAGACCTTGTGAGCCACCAGAACCCCACGTGCCCCAGGAGGAAGTCAGTTCTTGGGGTTGTGTGTGGGCTGGATGCGTTGATGGGTGTGAGAACACAGGTTGAGCAGCACGCAGGGGGTGAATGAGTCCATGAGGCAGGCAGGCCAGCATGTGCTCACCAGGCTGGGGCAGGTTTCTGTCCCTCTAGGAGCACCCTGCCAGGAATGCAGCCCTCAGTTTCCGCACCAGTTTAATTTATGGGGACATCTGAATCCATGCAGGTAAAGAAGAATAGATCAGCTTTGTATGTTTTTGCTGCCTTTGCAAGCCAGTTTGGTGCAGTGGTTAAGTGTGCAGACTCTAATCTGGGAGCACCGGGGTTGATTCCCCACTCCTCCACTTGCAGCTGCTGGATGACCTTGGGCAAGGCATAGCTCTGATAACAGCTGTTCTTGAAAAAGAGCAGTTTCTGTCGGAGCTCTCTCAGCCCCACCTACCTCCCAGGGTGTCTATTGTGGGGAGGGGAAGGGAAGGGAAAGGAGTCTGTAAGCCACTCTG